GGAATTTTCCTTTCTCGTAAGCATACCTATTCCACTGTGCAGTCTACTTACTGTGACAGGTTGGGTCACAGACATCCCTTGAGGCTGTCACCTGTTGGATTGGTAATACCACTGAGCCCAGCTATCTGCCCTCTGGGGTGCCCCACCACCATGTGCTGCTGAGCGAGAAGCTCTGGTCTCCCCTGCAAAGGCACAGAGTGGGGGTAACAGCCTGCCAGCAGAGTAGCACAGACACTGACAATAGCTCAGCTCTGGGAGAGTTCACAGCACCCAGGAGCACAGCCATGATGAGACCAAAACTCCAAATAAATCTGTCTTAGACTGTATAAAAGTTTACACAGAGAAAGCACGTAATATTTTCTCCCTTTATCAATGAAAAAGAGAGATGCACAGCTGTTCCCTGCCCTCCTTCAGTAACTGTTATTTACACTGGGTTTGATAATAAACAAAAACAATTACATTAAGTATAGAAAGTGGGATTTAAGTGGTTGCAAGTGCTGATAGGAAGATCAAAGTAAGTTACAAAGCTAAAATAAACAAAACATGCCAACTAAGCCTAATACACTAAAAGAAATTTTTACAAATCATGATTTCTCACCCTAGTCCTTATTTCAGTAAAGTTCTTCAAGCCAGAGCTGAGCTGTTCTCAGTGTCTGTGTTACTCTGCAGGGGGCTGTTACCTCAACTCTGTGCCTTTGCTGGGGGAGACCAGAGTTTCTGGCTCAGCAGGACAGGGTGATGGGGTGCCTCAAGTAAGCAGGCTCAGTGGTATGATCAGCCCCGTCAGCTGGCAGTCTCAAGGGGGTCTCTGTGACCCAACCTAACACATGTATGGTCACAGATTTCCTTTGAGGCGCTCATCACTTTTGAAAAATCCTCATATGCTTTTAAAATTGTCTCCATTGTCCATGGGACTTCCTCTTTCATTTCTTGCACTGTATCTAGAAAATTCTGATGCTTACCCCTTAATCAGGTCTATAGCTTGTAATGCTTTATTCCACAAGAGGAACCTGTGCTGGGAACTCCCTATTAAGAATAACAGACCTGCTTGTCACCAGAACTGATTCAGAGAACAAAAGCATGTACTTTCTGCTAGGAGCTAAAGTATCAGATGTGGGCCTGAAGCTGAAGAGGATCCTAATGAGATCAGGAAAGAATCCATCAATTGTCCTTCACTAATTATGTTGCTAGATTCTCTCAGGAATGCATCAAAGAACACTACACCCAGCTAGGGAAGGCATTTAAAGAAACAATGGCTCAGGTGATCTTCATCTGGAGTCTACTTGTCTGTAGAGGAGGAGAGTAAAGGTGAGACAAGATTATGATAATTAATAGATGGCTCAGGCAGTAGTGCTATTAGGGGAGCTTTGGCAGGCTTCACGAGACTGAAGCAACCCTCTATCCACAGCAGGCGGAGGGCTGCTCCAGCCCCCACGGGTTAATCTGTTAACCATTCACATCTGTGCCTGGATGCTGAGTCATTAACAGAGAGACTACTGTTCTCATGGAATAAACTCCACCTTAGTGGGAAGGGACGTAGACTTCTGGGAGGGCAGTTTGCACAAATGCTTAAAGGAGCTTTAAACTAGGGATTTGAAGAGTCAGTTTATGCTTATGTGATCTGCAGGCCTGATTCAGAGCAGGAAGGAAACTTAAGTAAAAGAGAATTCAGTAATGAAGAATAGTACCAATGACAGTATCAGTCAGGTAGGCAACTCTGGCAGTAAATGATGGTACCTAAGCAGGAAAAGAACCTGAGTGAAGCCAACTAGAAACAACTAAACTCTCTGTATACCAGTTCCAGGAGCCTGAGTAACAAAATGGAGGAACTCGAACTGCTTGTGCAGGAAGTGAAACCAGGTATTACAACAAGAACATGGCATAATAGCCATGACTGCAACACAGATACTGAAAGGTGTGTGCTATTCAGGAAAGACAGAAATAAAGATGATAGGCAGTGATGTAGCACTGCATATTAGTAATGGGGTACTCTGGGAAGCAATTGGAAGAGATGGAATGGATGAAACCGAATCTGTTTGGATCAGAATTACTTTGGAGAAGAAAGATAAAAGAAGCTGAACTGGTATAGCACTTGGTGTCTGGTACAAATCCCTAGGATCTGATTTAAATATGTATAGAGACCTCTGTAAAAAATTTTAAATTAAAATACTGCTGGTAATTTTGTGATTATGGGAGACTTTAATTATCCAGATATAAATTGGAGAACAAGTGCTACTTATAATGGTAAGGCCACATATATCTGGATGTGATAGCCAGTAGATTTCTTCACTATAACCAAGAAAAAGTGATGCCATTTTAGATTTCAGATTAGTAAGTAATGAGGACCTCATACAAGAACTGGTTGTAGAAGACAACTTTGGTTTGAGTGATCATGAGTTAATTTTTTTTACGATGCAAATATTTGTACTTGAGCGCTCTACACTTTGTATTCTGTGTTGTAATTTAAATCAATGTATTTGAAAATGTGGAACATATGCAAAATATTTAAATACATGGTATTCTATTATTGTTCAATAGTGCAATTCATCACAATTAATCATGATTAAATTTTTAATTGCACAATTAATCGTGATTAATTTTTAATCACTTACAGCCCTACTTTTTAATGAGTCCGCAAACTCAGGGATCCTGCCCTGTGACTGGAGATTTGCAAAGGTAGATCATATCATACTAAGTTGATCTCTTTCTTTGAGGAGATAACTGGTTTTCTAGACAAAGCAAACAGAGCCTAGCTAATCTATCTGGATTTCAGTAAAGCATTTGATTCCATTTCAGATAGGAAAATATTAGTTCTATTGGAGAGGATGGGGATTAATATGAGAATTAAAAGATGGGTAAGGAACTAATTAAAGGGGAGAATACAATGGATCAATTTGAAACATGAATTGACAGCATGGAGGGAAATTACTTGTGGAGTTCTATGGAAATTGGTTGTTTTCAATACTGATGTTCCCACAGAAAGTGGGAATATGCTAATAAAATTTGTAGATGACACAAATTTGGAAAGTACTGCCATATTAAGGAGAAACCAGAATATCATATAAGAATATTTGGACAACTTTGAAAACTGGAGTAATAGAAATAAAATGAAATTTAGTAGTGCAAAGTTATGAATTTAGGGACAAACAACAAGAATTTTTGCTATAGGGACATAGCAGTTAGAAGTGAGAGAGGAGAGGAAACACCTGGGTGTATTGGGTGACTGTGAGCTGCCAATGTTATGTGACCATGAAAAAAAGGCAAATGCAATCCTAGGATGCAACAGACAAGGTATTTCCTGTAGGGATAAAGAAGTGTTATTACTATGATAGAACGTAGTGGTGAGATCTCATTTGGAAAACTGTGCTTCTCTGAGCTTCCGTGTTTGAGAGGTTAATTAAAATTGGAACGGAGATAGAGGAGGGCTAGTAGGGTGATCAGAAAAATGGGGAATCTACTTTATGAGAGGAGACTTAAGGAACTTGACTTGTTTCAGCCTAACAAAATAAAGGCTGGATGGAAATATGATTGTTCTTTACAAATACATCAAAGGGATAAATGCCCGGGAGGAAGGCAAGTTATTTAATTTAGAGGCCAATTTAGAGGCCAGTATTGGCCAAAAGCCCCAAACAAATGGATATAAATTGGCCGTGAATAAATTCAGTCTTGAAATTACACACAGATTTCTGACCATCAGAGGAGTGAAGTTCTGGAACTTCCAAAGGGAGCACTGGGGATAAAAAACCTGTGTTTTAAGACCAAGATGGATACATTTATGGCTGAGGTGGTATGATAGCCTACAGTGGCATATGGCCCTGTTGCCACTGCCTATAGCAAATACCTTCATTGGCCAGAGATGGGACACCAGATGGAGAGGGCTCTGAGTAACTACAGAAAATGTATTCTCAGGTACCCGGCAGTGCACACAATTGGTTTTTGGTTATATTGCTAATCAAATCATAACCTGTTCCTTGCTTTTCTTCATCTATAACATTCCTACCTTTGTAAAACAGATTTTAAAATGGAAGGAGTTGAATAGGTGAAAAATATTACTACAGGTTGGACCTTCCTGGTCCAGCACTGTCAGGAACTAACTGGTCCCAGATGAGGAATTTTTCCAGACCAGGGGAGATCATTTCTGGCCCCCCAACCTGCCCCCTGGGTTTCCCCCTTCCCTCTCCCGCAGCCCAGCTGAGCCACATTCTGCCCCCCACCCTCCACAGTCCACCTGGACTCTCTGATCCTGGAACAACCACAGAATTCCGGTTTATAAAGGTATAACCTGTATTTATGAGGGGGGGGGGTTGTTGCAGACCTGCTCTAAGTTCAGAAGTGTGTTGTGGTTCTTGTTTTAACTTCTATATTTTTTTCCAATTTGTTAGGATCTCAGCAGCAAGGACATGAAGAGAGACTTGTACATAGTTGCTCATGTCATTCGAATAGGTACAGTATGGTTTGCTAACTAATTTTCTTATATTAGTTCAAAATGAGAAGTATTTTTTAAAACTATTTTATATTAAATTGACACTGTGATAAGTTTAACCGTTAGAAGGCTCCATCATGGACCTTACCTCTTTGTAGAAACAGAAGTTCAAACTGTGGTACTATAGATAAGTATTAATACAATTTAGAATTGCTAGGCAGTGATTTTCTTCATCTAGAACATAAGACATGGATAAATACTAGGATGACCACGTCCTGTTTTTAAAGGGACAGTTCTGCATTAAAACCCTTCTATAGGTGTCCCTACTTTTAAAAAATGAGCAAATTATCCCATATTTTGTTTCTCTTCCCTCCCATCAGTACTGGTGGGTCCTCTGCAATGTGGATCATTGCTAACCAGCTACATTCCCACTAGCAGCGAGTTGAGCGGGACCAGTGGCTGACAATGGGCATGAGTGTGAAAGGCTGGTGATCAGGCAAAGCTACAGCATGCAGGGCCGTCCCCTTTGCCTGCTGGTCCATCCATGCAGTCCCTGCTGAGTACCATCTTTTGGCCAGCAGCCGTCTCCCCTGCCCCATTTCCAGCCAGCACTGGCTGCTTGCTCTGGTGGCTGGGGTGTGCTGGTTACATGTTACCTCTGCTGCTCACCCATCAGCCCTTTACGTGCTTCACCTCTCACTGTCTTCTCCCTGCTGTGCCTGTTCGCCTCTCCCCCACCCTGCTGCTCCACCATATCCCCACTGGTTGGGTGCATTCTACTCAGGGCACTGTGCAGAGAACTAGCCCCTGGTTGAATCGCTGCACTCATCCACAGCCTGGCCGTCAGGCTCCTTCCTTCTTCCATTTCCATGGCTTGGCTGGTGCTCCAGGAAAGCTCAAGACCCTCCATCTCAGGGCACTGGCCTGAAGGAGCCAAGTCCTGCGTGTGCCAAAGCCCACACGGCACAGGCATGGGGAAGCTTCTCTGCCCCTCAACTAAGTTCTGGAGTGGTGGGGAGGAAGCTATTTCCAGCCTGTTTGCGACCTGACCCTGCAGGTCACTGGGCAGGGGCACTTAGCTTCCTCTTCACATGCTGCTTCCTGCCCCTAAGTCCTTGTCCCCAGAGAGTGAGGGGCTGCTATGTCCCCTAGGCACCCTCCCATGTTGAGCCGCCTCTCTGGTTGGGTGTGCTGAAGCCCCTGCAGCCAGGTTCCCTGGGCGCTGGTGCTCAGAGCATCCTTCAGGCTTAACCCCTTGCTGCCCATGAGGTGTTAGCTGCCCTTCTACAATGTGTGGGCTGCTTCTAACCATAAGGGGAGGGGTCAGTGGAAGGGAAGAGAAGATCTCTGGAAAAACATGGGCTAGGTCATTCCTAAACACACCTCCACCATCCTTCAGCTAGAAGCACCTCCCATCCCTTTCCCTCCTGCATAGTGCCGAAAGGTTGCTGTTTGCCATGTTCTGATGTGAACCTTGACAGAAATGTGAGGAGGGTGCCTGTGACTCTGTGTTGCCTTGAGAAGCTGCAACACCAGCTACCAGGAGTGGCGAGTTTGTCCTGGGGGCCCAGCCAGGCGTGGAGGGTGGAGAGCACTGGGTAGGGAGGGTTGGGTTAGGTCGGTCAATCACCCCCATTCCTGTGTACGGGACTGTGCGTATGTCACCTCGCCCTGTGCAAACTGTACAGTTAAGAACATAACTAAAACGACTCCAGCTACGCAGTATTTCTTTTGAACAGGGGCTCAGTCAGCGTGGTGTTAATTTGAGCTTTTGTACTGCATCGTTCTGATTACCATTGAGCTCTCCTGAATGTGAGTAATTTTACCAGGTGTCTCACATTCAGCACAGGGAAATTCGCTCATCCTAGTAAATACACATTTAGAAAGAGAAGATTAATCATATACCCTTCTAACCCTTGAATACAAGATGTTGGGAAGAGGGTGATAAAGCTCACATTTTGGAGATGATGTCAGCATACCTGGTCATTCAGAATTGCAAATCATTTTGCAGCTGGATAAACACGGGGAACTCTTTTTCTGCTGTGTGCCCAATTATAGTAAATGGGAATGGCAGCTTTTTGAGACGTTATTAGCAAAAAATCTGCTTAATGGGGGTGTATTTAGCCAATGCCAAGGTGTTAAGATGTTAGTGTTTTAATTGAGAAGATACCAGATAAATATTTCTTGCATTTGTATTAAGTACAATATTTTATTTCAGGTTTTTTTTTTAGGCTGTTTAAAGAAATCTCATCTCTTCATGGGACAATAATTTAATAAGAATAATAGACAGAAATGTCCCAGTTAAAAGAATTCTATGTAGCAATTGACAATGTTGATTTATATTTGTAAGAATATTAAAAGAGGGACACAGAAAGTTTAGAATATCTATACAGTACCTAGAAAGCTCTGTACTGTGTGTATGTATGTATATGCCCTACATAGAGGCAACAGAAAGATAGGAGCAAAAATAATTGCTGCATTTTAATTTCTAACCACACTGCCTGTTTCAGGTCGCATGCTTCTAAATGATTCCAAAAAGGGTCCCTCCCACCTACATTATCGTCGCCCCTATGGCTGTGCAGTATTGAGCATCATGGATGTACTTCAATCAATCTCTGAATTAAAGGAAGAAAAAGACTTTGTTCTCAAAGTTTACACGTGAGTAACTCACTAGAAGGAGAAAGAAACTGCATGAGCAATTAGTTAGGAAAAAGGACAGTTTATGTCTTAATGCTGTGTGAAGAAGAATGCAAATGTGCCACCAGGGGCGACTGGCAATCAAAATAGGCCTGGGAAATGGGTTGAGAATGGCCCACTTTTTCACATCAAAGAATTTTTTTTTAAATTTACTATTTGACCCCCATTAGCCATACCCTGACCCCTGTTAACCACGTCCCTAACCCCCATTAGCCACACCCCTTGACTCCCATTAGCCAGGCCCCTGGAGGTAACACTCTCGGAGCAAGATGGACACATGACCAGAAGTAAAAGGTGTCATGTGACCCCTTTCTAAGGACTTTCCCCATCATCCTCCTACAATAGGGATTATTTTGGCCCCCACCAAACCCCCCTCATGCAACTATCCTGCAATTGCATTAACCCAATGTGTGTGACATTAACTCGGGGGCGGAGAAGCTGGGGGAAGTGTTCCCTCCAAGAGTTTCCTCCCATGAGCAGAATGAATTTTGTGTTGTGCACCAGTATTGAGTTCATGGGGCTTGTTTGGATGTGCCACTGTGGCACCCAAGTTATTAATAAATACCTTATAAACCTCTCCCTTTTCCCTCTGCTGCCCTGTCTCCTCCCCTTACTCCATCAGCTCCCCTGGTGCCTGCTGCCCCCCCAAACCTCACCCTCCTCTGCTGTCCTGACTCCAACCCTTCTCACTGCCCTCAGCCCTCCTGTGACCTGCCCCCCTCCACCAGCCCTTTTCTCCCTACTCCTCCAGTAGCCCCACTCTGATCATGTGAGTACCGCTCCTCATCCCCTCTCCTAACACCTCCCTCTACACACCTGCCTTGCCTCTCGCCTCTGGTGCTGGTCCCTCCCCTGCAGGTGTCTGCCCTTCTGCTTCACCCC